GACTATGCTATGACAGTTGGAGCTGCTTGATTTCTTTCTTTTTAAAGAAAGTACTTTTGGTCAAATAGACTATAATAGATCTGATGAAAGAGAATTTCTGAAAGAAATAACTACTGCCACTCTACTTAGGTTAGACTGCAATAGTGAATGACATTAGTAATTGTTTTCTATTTCTGAACACAAAGGAGACTTAGAGCACCATTGCAGTTCTTATGAAATCTGTTTCTTTCCATTTATTCATTAGTAAATATTAGCTCATGAAGGCTGTTAAATATCTCTCCTTTTCAGTCATCTGATTTGCTACTTGTGAAATGGCAGTTTACATTGTCTGGACCCAGCAATTCCATCAATGTTATCATCCAAATGCAAGCAGCCAGTGAATTTTTAGAGGCTGTCTCAGATAGGCCTGTGTATGGGAGTCTGCTCTTATCCTCTGCTAATAAATGCTTCATCTTTGCTTGTAATTGTGGCAGAATGGAAATGGTGCTTAGGAGCCTGGCTGTGAGATTGCAGCAAATGGCTGCAACCTATGTTTAATGTAGTGACACTAATGAATTCTGAGAATTAATTTTCAGCTAAGAAAGCATGATGAAAGATACTAGAATTTCAAATTAGGTAATGGATTGACTTTCGTTAAGGCAAACATGTACAATATTTGTTTCCTTTTCAATCTATACTTAGCCTTCCTGTTTTTTTAGATTCAAAAAATAGCAGACCAAATATACTTTCATTATACTTTATTTGAAACCCATCTTGTAGTAGATTTGCTAGTCAATTTGCTCAGTTCAAACTAATGCGCTACTTTTTTTTTTTTTTTAAATTTCTTTAGGCCAAACAAATTGGCTGAATTTGCAGGTGCAGCACATTTACTGGTTTTATGAGTAATTGCAGCATGGTTGATGTTTGACAGTGCCTAAGCTAACTGTCCAAATTGGTCTTAAATGAATGCTCAGATGAGCAGCTGAAGAGCTGAAGATATTTTAGTTTTCTCCTTTCCTCAGAAGCAAATCCTTCAGTGATAAGACTTCTTAATGTTGTTTTTTTACTTGCACAACACACACACTGATTGCAGAATATTTTCTGATAAGTGAAATTGTAAAAGCTGTTTTGTTACTGTACTCTTCCAAACGTTTATATCACTGAATTTTTGTGTATTACTTCTCAATTTCTCTTTTCTGGCCTGTGTGTTAGGTATATCTCCTGACTGAATTTACTGGCAACTTTGAACTCAGATGTCCATATGATTAACTTTTCCCCATATTATATTTCTAAGTCAGGGTGCAGATCAGTAAAAGACTCTGTGATAATGCTCACCTTTGTGCAGGCTTTAGCACTGTAAGAGCTGATATTCTATTTTTTTTTTCCTAAAGAGCGTTAGTGTCAATTCTGCTTCCAGTGAAGGAGATGATACCTTTCTGAACACTTGCAGTGACACTGGCAGTCTGATACGTCATTCTTCATTAGCACATAGGTAGTGGCCCAGGGACCCTTATTTTACAGATGATGTTGAATAAGTACTGCAGCAGCAGCAGGCATTCATGTTGCACTAAAAGCAACACAGTTGAAATGACAGTGTGTAGAAGCAGAGCATGTAAGTACACCTCAGAATATTAATGGATCTTATCTACATAGAGAGGAATTAGGGCAAAGGAATATACACCAAGAGGAGAAACATAAGGACAATCTTTTCAGTGTCACATGACAGCTCTCCATCCTGCCTTCCATTACAGCAGGCCTGGTGATACATCAAATGGGCACTGAGTATTTGAGTACACACTGAGCCCACAGTACCTACTGTGACTAAGCTGCAAGCTGGTTACCACATTTGAAACATCGTAAGGAGTAATTTCTGGAAGTCACCGTGTCAACACTTTAGAGCTAAAGGAGAGTCTATGTACCATATGCAGTTGAATTCCCTACGGCCTGCTGTGTTCCTAAAGTGCTAGGAACTTGCTGTTTAACTTGATGGATTAAACCAACCTCAGTGGAATGTACATTCTCCTGTCAGTCTCTCCCCTGAAATGAAATAGAAGTACTTACACACAAAGTTACAGACATGAATGTAAGCAGCTCTCCCTCACTCTTGCACAGCTGTTAGTTATGAGCTCTCTGCTTTGTTGTGTCATCTCACTAACCATCTGAAAGGGCTCTTTTCTTCCAATGCAGGCACAAACTTGGCACAATAGTAGGTTTACTGTGTCTGAGCTTGGAACAGAGTTTGATCACAGAATCGTGTTGATATGTCTTGTGTCACTACCTTGGTCATCCTGTCATTTAACAAACTTTTAGTTGCATGTCAAGTGAAATCCTAAGTGACCACAGGTTGCAGAAGTACCCTACTACCAGAGAACGAAGGCTGCATATAGATGAAACAATAGATAAACATCAATAGTTGCAAAGGTGAAGAGTAGCATGCACACAAAGTGATAGTCAGTGGGGCAGGACTATACAAGAAAAGCAAAGGTAATCCTAAAGTAGACTTCAAGATCACCTCCCTCACAGAACTTACCTATGCTCATTAAAACACCTGCCAGACCTAAACACCTCACAGTTATGTAATAGAGAAGCTAAGAATTTTTTCTCCAAAATGTTTTTCTTCTGTCTCTTCTTGTTGGGGTTCCTTAATGAATGCAGTATCCTGGACATTTGGATGTTTCACCTAGGGGCCATCTGTATAGAAAAAATAGAATGTGTCTAGAGGTACATTGTTCCAGAGCTCCGAGTATAATTCATATTAATAACTACATGCCACCAGGTCAAAGATCTGTATGTTCTTCACACTTTTGATAAACGCAAGATATCCTGTCTGGAACTGTGTGATTTATTGAAAAAAATCCATTTAAACTCTAATGTTATTATCTGAAAAGCAACTGCTTCTTGCAATAGGACAAAGGGTAATGATTTTAAACTAAAAGAGAGTAGATTCAGACTAGATACTGAGAAGATGTTTTATCTGTTGAAGGTGGTGCAACACTTGAACAGGTTGCCCAGAGAGGTGGTAGATGCCCCATCCCTGGAAACATTCAAAGTCAGGTTGAACAGACCTCTGAGCAACCTGATGTAGTTGAAGATGTCCCTATGCATTGCAGGAGATTGGACTAGGTGCCCTTGAAAAGTCCCTTCCAACAGAAACTATTCTATGACATAGGTTTGCTTGGATTCAGTTATAGTACTGAAAAATTCCTTATGTAATCAAGTTCAAAAGAAAATTTATGTATTAACAATATAACATAAATACTGTAAATTTGTAATTATTGATAGAATGGTAAAAATCATGAGTGCATGAGCTTTTCAGACTGAAATCTCAGCTTCGGATACTTACCATCAGTCTGTGATTTTGTGTACTGCATAGCTTTTGTTGTTTTGTTCTCTTTTCCCCTGCCTTCCTGATTAATGTTGTCTTTCTTTCCAAATGCTTTTTTCCTTTTTCTCGAGAAACATGAATTTGAACAGGATTGGCATGGACCATATTGTCTGTGTGGTTGTATTGACTTTTAAAAGCCCCAGATTACAAAAAGGAAAAGAAGTAGGGGGGATTGTCAGAACCTGTTCAAGGCTAATGATGGATCTTTTCATGGAGGGGAAGGACTGGTATTTATAGCCTTGTGCTCAGAGGGATGGAGATAAACCAGGTTGTGTTACTTTAGTGTTTCAATCAGGAGGCTGCAGTTCAAACCTATAGCAAAATTCACCAAAAATAGTTCCAAAACTGGTAACACATTCTACAGGCTTTTTTTTCTGGACCTGGTGTACCAAGAAGAGTTTGGCAAAGTGATTTTCAGGAACCTAAATTATTGAAGTTGTGTTCAAAGATATTTCAGGATCATTTTAAGACCAGAATTTAGGCTTCAGTAAAGTCTTTGAGGTGAGGCTAAACTTTAATAATTTGCTAATGTGTTTGGTAGTATTTTAAATCAAATAATTTGTATTTTTTAATGTATAAATTTTGTACATTGTTATTGATATTACTAGAATAGAAATTCTAAAGGGTATTAGTTTCATTGAAGTGTTTGCTAAAATGGTAGTCTTTATTTGTGATATTTGGGTCTGCAAAGAAAGTACTTTAGGTATATCACTTAATATCAGCAAATCTGAGAAATAATTGTGAAGTATGTAATATAAATGCATCTCATCAAATAAATTCATTTTGAGCTGTAATTTCCTGATAGGTACTAGAAGGTCTGATCCTGTTAGACCATTTTTCTATTCGAATGGTATTATTTCAGCTTTATTATACAGAAAATAATTCAACCTGAGTGATGACTTCTTTATTTTTGACTGTTGGTTACATAAATTAGCATGGTACTTTATTTTATGCTAATTTAATAGGATGTATTTCTTTACTCATTACTGGTTCACCTGTTCCCATCACAGACAGCACTTTGATACTCTGGCTAGCATTTAATTCTGACTGATTCCTTTCTTTTCCATACTGAATCATACAGGCTTGCTGAATTTTGTGTAATTATGCTAACACTTGTCATTGCAATATAGAATATCTACCTGTAGCATTCATTTAAAAACCAAGGCTCTATATTAAATTGTTCTGATTACTGTTGTATCACAGGTTTCAGTCGTGGTTTTTAATAGGCTGTATCCTACAGTTCATAATCAAACTCTCATTGGATAATAGAGAGAAAATTAAAGTGAATAAAGTGTTGTCTATTCATCTTAGATTAAGTTTTATGCATATTAACTGTACAGCACTTACAAGATAGGATGCCATTTTTTCCTAGTAACCTAGTTACAGTTAAAAAGAGGAATTAAATAAGCTCAAATTTGTAGCCTTTATGCTAGTACACTTGTAGGGTGAATTCACTTAGCTAAATATTTTATGCCAGATTTATTGCAATGTAGAGGAAGAGACTTTTTACATATTGAGGAGCTCAGGTTTGTGGAAAAAGAAACTACTGTACAGTAACAGCCACACAGTAAGCTGACCCAAATCATGCTGTAATGAAATAACATCATTACCTGAGACCCCTGTTTCTCTGTCACAGGTGTCTAATCAAAGATTTTGAAAAGCGTCCTTCAGTTACCCATCTTTTGGAGCACCCATTTATTAAACAAGTACATGGTAAAGACATGGCTCTGCGAAAACAGCTGGCTGAGCTCATCCAAGAACAACAGCAGTTGGGCTCCATAGCCAAAACAAGGTACTGTACTGTACAAGGTACTGTATGTACCAACATACATGCTACAGCCCTCCTTCCCCACACTAATCCTGTGAGCACAAATGGAAACTTCCAATGCACAGGCATTTACTGTTTCAAATGATCATATTAATGCATTGACTAGCAGTATTATTAGCAGCAAGTGCTGCTTGCCATGTAAATGCAAAAGATGTGTTTTCCCTTTGATACTTCTTAAAGCTATAGTTTGATCAGCCATAATGCAACCTACTCCTTTGCATTCTTACTCCCACTGAACTCTGTTCTGTAAGTGTTCTCTTTTGGCTCAGTCAGAGATGCTAATAATTTCAGAATATTCTGGTTTGTGGAAGTATGTATTGGCATGAAATATTATATTGTACTTTGGTAACAGATCTTTGAAAAATACAACTGTATTCTCGTGACTACTAGAAAAGGTTAAGAACACTTTAAAGATTGCTGTTTGATTAGATGCTATTAGTAAGAAGGCTGTTCAGTACTTAAAGTAATTGCTTTGTCTGTAGTTTAATAATAGCTGCTATTTTTCATTCAGCCTAGTTATTTACTTTAAAATGTGCTTAGAAAGCAATGCGTGTTTATCAGCAGCAGTGAGATCTTTTACTTTTGAGGCTGATTGTAAATATGTCTTAGTTTAGTTGTTGTCCAGAGGGTGGCAGAATTTCACTGTTTCAGAAGAATTAAATGCAAATGAACACACTGTCCCAAGCTCAGCAATCATTCTGTAATATGAAATTTGTCTAGAGTTAGATGTGCTCTGGCCCATTTTTATAAACAAACACTTACTAATGCTGATGAAGAAAATTAAATGTCATGATTCATAAGTCATAAACATGGATATACTTACATGCTGTAAGACTCTGTAGCTTAAATGATAAAAACCCAAACAAAAATGTAGAAGTTAAAGGTATAGCTGTAAGTACAGTTTCAAGGTGAATTTGACTTCTGTGGGTGGGGTTTTTGGTGGTTGGTTTGGTTGGTTTTGTGGGGGTGTTTGTTGTTGGGGGTTTTCCTTTGTTCGTTTGTTTGTTTTCTGGAAAAACATATCAGGAACTGCTCACTGTGGGTGAGGGAGCTATGCCAGTGTTACAGTGGAAGTTTCTGTTTTATCTGGCCTCCTAAGCATAGCTCCCCCATGTAGCATCTCACAGATCATGTTGCCTACAGCTATGCTGTGGCTGGCCCAAAAGGTATGGGAATTTTTCCAGCTGTTGACCAAATTGCAGATATAGACAGAGTGAAATGATTCTTGTGCTAAGAGGAGCTCTGAAACGGATTTGTCATGGTATTCCAGTACATTCTTCTAGGATCGAGCTCCATGATGTGGAGTGACAAAGAGTCAAGACCAAGACATTTCTTTTCTGAAGCCTTTCCATGTATTAACTGAGAGTGCTGACAGACAAGCTTCTGCACCTTATGCATGACTGGAATGTAGGAAGGATTTTGCTTCCCAGCACCCTCAGTATGAATCACCTAAGGGAGTTTAACTCCTTGTCTGTCCTGTAGCACCTAACCCTACTTAAATATTTTGTTTGAAAACAAAAATCTTTCTGATTGTTTTAGCATTATACTACTATGGTATCCTTACTTGTTCTGTGAAGCACCAGCCCTCTGTGATCAGGGCTGAGAACATGCTCTGTGAGGACAAAAATTTAGTGATCATTTACCATTGAAACTGACAACATGTTGTTCAGAATGATTTTCTGAAGATTTGAAACTTGATCAAATTTATATAAACTTTAATGGGATAGCAAAAGCATATCCCTGCAAAATATCAACTCTGTTGGCCAGACAGTTAATACTGGACTACAAACATAAGATTATTACAGAAGAACCAACCACCAAGAGCATCTAATTATGATTTTCCCCAGAGGATAGACATAGCCTCATAATAGTAAAACCTTGGCTATGTAATAGGGATATTGTACCCCCTAGGAAAATTGTTACCAATTAAAAGCCTTAAAACCTCTGTAATGCTTTTATAACATTATTTTCAATACAGAATATGACATGCAGAAGAATAAATGACCAGATGGTACTGTAAAAAATTGACTGGCATTCATTTGTAGTGATCTGTAGAAGTCATCTGAATGTATAGTCATCACTTCAAAGTAAATAGGCCAATTCAAAACCATGTTAAGTAAAACCTTTCTATTATACCATTGAATATATGTGCACATTTTCTCTGTTTATTGATGCACCCATGATAGGTGTTCTCAGAGCACAGGCTGAAAAGTTCCAGAAATGGGAAAAACATCAGGATAGGTTAACAGCACTTCTTTGAGGGAAGCCAGGGAGTTACTGGTGATGACAACTGATCAGGAGGCATCTGTGTTTTGTCTTATATGAAAATCTTCCAGGATCAGTGTTTTGGATTTGCATCTTTTGATTCTGTACTGACTCAGCACCTGTGGCGTTTTTCATAGGGTTCTCTTTCCAATAGAGTCATGCCAGTTTTGCCTATTTTGGTGCATCACTTAAGGTCATTGTGCCTAAGAACAAGCCTGCAGACTAGAAAGTCAGTACTAATGATTTAGAGCATATGATGGAGAGACATGGAGAGCTGATCTAGCAGTGCACTGCTAATGAGAAGGAGAACTGGCTTCTTTCATTTTCCCACAGCTCCCAGGAACAAACTCATGATGCTGGTTTTATTGCAGCTTCAGTGGTTGTCAAAAACCTCCTGAGCTAGAACTTTTACAGTAAGAGAGAATAACTAAGCCAGCAGAAACACACAAATCATTTTCTACTCTCTTAGTGATTGCAGAGAGGTGCCTCAGGTGATATAGCTGAAGTGAAGGAGGGAACGCTTCACATGACCATTAATAAGGGGGAGAGTGGCAGAAAGAAGCAAGCTGTCCCCTTTTGGCAGGATCATCTGGGATGACCCCTGGAGTCACAGACTGAAACATCTCCTTATTTTAGTTTCTTTCATTCTTCTTTTGTAGACTTCGTAGTGTGCAGTATAGCTAGGCTTCAGCACATTTCTTCAGGCCTCTGAAGTGAAGGGGCACTTTGTTGGCCTTGAGCTCAGGGGAGTCTGCTAACACAAACATTTGTTGCTGTCATCTCTTTGTTGCTGACAAACATATATTGTCAGTTTTCCATGAGGCAACTTACTAGGGAATTTTATATTCTGTAAATTCCTTTAGGTTAAAAACGAAAAATGAAATGTTTATGCTAGTAAAAGACTATTTTTAAAATTAAAAATGGCATTAACAATTCTTCCTGCTTTTTTTGCTGAAAAAGATACTCTTTGAAACTTCTCCACCAGCTCTATTTTTCTCTAAATTATTTACATCAGTGAGATGCAGACATCTTCTATCCTTATGCAAATAGGTGTTTCCAGTTTCAGAATAAACAGCCAGAATACCTCTTTTCCCATACTTGTAATGAGAAAGAAGATTCTTTTTTTCATCTGTTGGCATCTTTTTAGACTGAAATCCTTGAGTTCTGCCATTTCAGCATTAACACTTCACTCCTGCAATGCCTGTTTCTTATACTCTCATGGGGAAAAACTTGGTGAGGAAGTCCAATGTCACAGGTGTGTAAGGATGAGCTCCAGGTATTATCTTTCTTATCCATATCCCTTTTATACACTATCAGCTAACTGTGTGTGTGGTTCCTAACAGTACCAGGGCATAATTGCTAATTAGCAACAATACACTTTTCATTAACAGCTTTGACATAGAAACAATTATATTAAGTTAATTCTAAGAAACTTATTCAGTGTTAAATAGTCCTCTAGTTCTATTCTTGCAAAAGTTCTTCAATCCTTGAAAAATAGAGGTTAGTACATCAGAACAGTGCTTTACATATACTCATTCCAGCTATGCTGAATTTTTCTTCCCCATCTATTCTAAGGTTAAATACATCATTACTTTTTAACACATGGATACTGATTTCGAGTTGGTCTTAGGAGTCACAGCGTCTCTTATTCCCATCAATATATAGCTGCTTCTAGGCAGGAAGCCTTTCTTAAAATCAGAGAGGATGCTGTCACAGGCTCTCACTCATTTTTTCCTATTTTTTTCCTAGTTGTATTTTTTCTTTAATTTACCAATTCTATATTCACACAAAGACTGTGAGATGGTTGTTCAAATAGTGTCCTGATGCATGATAACATTGTGAGAACAAGAAATGTCTTTCATTCCTGAAGACTTGTACCTCATGTAGCATTAAACTGGAGAATGGGAGAAAAATAAGGAATCTAAGTTACAGTAAGGTGGGGACAATAGAACATGCAAACGTTGGTCAGGAATGATAAGCAGAACTATAAAAATATTTTTGTTACAGTAATAATAACTGAGTATTGATAAGATGCAGTGTGTCTGAGTGTGACTAATGGTGTATTCTCTAACTAAAAAGGGTACACAAGTCAAGTCAACCATAAACTTGCTATATTTCAGAAATAAGTTCTTCAAGATAATAATCTGTGTGATTGCATGTCAGTAAAATACCAAGGATGTTTAGGCACCCTCTGAATTACAACACAAAAACATGGTAGAGGTTTGTGTTCTGTTCCTCATTCTCTCTCTGAATTGCTGTGTAACCTCTGTTCTGTCACTTGCCGTCAATATTTCTCTGTTCCTTCGCTTATGAAATGGCTGCTAATAGCTTTACTCAATATATTATATCTACAAAAAATAGACAGCGGTTTGTCTGAGGCAAGAACTTTATCTTTTACTTGTTCTGTGAAGCTGTAATATACCTTTGGTCACTGTAAACCTGTTGTTGAAGAGAAACATTCATAGTGCCTGAAGCTCTAGCCATTTTAATTTTCGTTCTTTCTGCCCATAGATTCTGAGGAGGCTCTGGGAAGGCTCTAGGCAAAGATTATGGATATTGTTAGTTTTCACTTAACAGTAAACATTCACTCTGTGTAGGCTATATTTTTGTTAAACAGTGTTTGTGTTTGATAATCCATTAAGGGAGATTATGAGAGAGCTGCTCACTTTCCAAATATGCGTTTTGATCTCTTGAACTCA